AACCTGCTGCCAAAGTCAAAAATGGACACTTGTTACATCCACCATGACCATGCTCCAGCTCACCGCGCTAAAGCCTGCACCGAGTATTTGACCACTACTGTACGGAAACTTATTGACCACCCTCCTTCCAGTACAGATTTTGCTCCCTGCGACTTTGCAGTGTTTCCGCATGTGAAAATAAAGCTTAAAGGGAAACGGCTTCTAGCGATGAGGACCTTCGAAGTCAGTAAATAAAGCTGTATAGCAAAACTTTTATAGTACCCTTTATTAGGGAAATTTTATTTTGAATATTTGGAGTAAAACATTATTTTTTTATAAAAAAATATCCATTACACTGTTCAAAATCAAAACACGGACTTCTACGAGATGACCTAGGTCGGTGGACTCAAAAATCTTGAAACACTTATACCGACAAGCAGCGTAATACGATCATAACGAATCGCGTTTACATAATACCCTCATTAAGGCCAAGCCACATTCAAAAGATACGAGAAGACCATGGATCTTTTCGTGCGCAGCGCTTCATCTTTTTGGACCAGTATGCTAAGAATGCACCACAGAATTCGGGCTAATATATTTTAAGATGAGTTTATGTACAAATTATATCTCGCGCGCGACTCATTGATAAATTTAATATGCTGCGCTTAAATTGACGTTTAAAGCTTCAATGCTTATTGGTGAGCGAGGTAATTTTTAACAAGCTGTTATTATAATTGGCACGAATACCGATGCTGATATTTGGTAACTGTACTGGTTTATGGAAGTTTTTCTTGGATTCGATGCTGAATGAGTTTGATGGGTATCATCCATTGAACAGAAACGATTTATTTATAGTATACAGGGTTGGGGGAAAATAAATATAGTAGTAATATTACATGGAACTGTCAATCGAACTTATGCATCTGTGTATGGTATGTAGCTTTGTGGTGCAGTTTGAGTTCCAGTTACGGTTTGTTGTGTCATTAATAAAGGTTTATGGAACCTTTTTGAGACTAAATCTGGTTGGTACTAACATGTAAGATGCTATTCTTATGGCGGGTTTAAACAACCTTTCAATGGTCGTAGTCATAATCATAGACATAAACATAAGGGTAGGAATACCTATTTTTGACGAACGCCTCCATACAGGTTGTACAATCATGTCGGAATGACCTTGAAGTTCGTAAGTTTCAACCTTATGCTTACGGTTATGATTGACATGTCATTTTACCAAGTCTTTGTGTCAAAACTGCGAAAGATATCCTGTCAAGCGTCAATGTTTTCTGGCAGTGGCGTCACGTGCTTGCTCGATTTTTGCTTTTTGTTACTACTGCTGTAAGAATTGACCAGCCATGAGGATCTAGGAGGCTACCATCTGTCAAAATAAAAAATGGACAACTGCTTATGAATGTGATTGAGACAGTTGTACTAACACACTCTGGAATTGTGACTGTGCTCACATTGAACGCTCGCACAAACAGCGCCACCCATCGGTTGACTGAAATGGTCAAATATAAGAGTACCACCCAGCTCAAGCTAGATGGATACACTTCTAATTTCGTGTCACACATGCTTGACAAGTTGACACTACAATACTTCAAGCACTCTTCGATTTTCAAAAATTTCAAACGTCGATCTATTCGACGGTGCGATACAAGTAAGTACTCTTAGTTAAGGTGCTAATTTACTCTCGTACATAATCCATAAATTTTATGGATAAATTATTTTTAGAATGGTTGAAACCAATTAATATTCAGAATAATCAGAACTTTACAACACTAAATCCAAGAGAATCAGTCGATATAATCCAATAATGGGTCCCAATACACGCAACCGCAAACTTAACAATTTGGTAATAGAATCTAAGATTGTTTGTGACAGTTTTTTTTGTAGATGTGGAGTTATTGAAAATTGAAGACATGCATCCCTTCGTCCTGCCGCTGAATATTTTATTTGTATTTTATTTACAACCTGTTCCTTCAAATCACAAAATACAGTTTTGATACGTGATTAAAATCGTTATTTATTCGTTTAGCTCTTTCAAATAACACCCAAGAGACGGCGTCGCTAACACTTACTCCTTTTTTTTACTGTCCTTTCGTTCTATAAAGGGTACTATGTGGTACTAGCCTTTGAACATAATCAGGCAACCAGTCAAAAAGCTGAACTATTTCATAGCGACAACCACTGTCATCTGCACTATGTGACATATGTCGTATGGGGAATCTGTCTTCGAGTTTAGTGACCTTCATAGTAATTCTGAATGGGCAGCATTGGTGCGAGCTTTGGATGAAGCTTTTAAAAGCTTCAATATTCTATGTGTAGGATTGTTTCTCAACCATTCATCTGTTGCGACTCAACTTTCAGTGACAATTCTTAGCACTCCCCTCCCCCCAATTTACTATCATCTTCAGGGTAGGTGGCGGAAACAAAAGCCAATTTAATAATAAATCACTCTTTAATTCTTGGGCAGAATTAGATGATGAATTTTCTGCACTGAAAGCACGAGCTTTTCGTATACTTTTCTGTGATGAGTGCATTCAAGAGAAAATATAGACCGCACCTAAATATATATGAAAAGAAAAAGAAACTTTAAGAGAAATTTCTAACATTAGACTTACTTATGAAAAATTTTGGTCTGCAATACAGGGGGGGGGGGGCAAACTTTATTGAATTTTTATAACTAGGAGAAAAATGTCAAACATACATTGTGGTGTATGAAGAAGCGATTGAAGTATAGATTCCTACGAAATTCGCAAATTTTGAATTTTTTGTTTCAAGTAGACATCATTAAATCCACATGTTTAATGTAAAATAAGGCAAAACAATGGCCTTGTGGTAGGTACAAATTATTTCAATGGAATAATGTACTCGTCGTATATTGTTAATTTATATACTAAAAACTGCTGGTATGCGTGAGAATGATTATTTTTGCAAGCATAATTAACGTATCTTCTTTGTGGACATTTACTGTACAGCAAAACATTTACACCTAGTGCATTAATACCAATAGTGCAATGATTGTTGTAACTCGGTACGCTTTTTGTCGGACCTTTGTACATATCCCACAGCAATGTCAATCACAGAACAAGAAATTTGGTCTCAAAGAAGCATTTTAGATGTTTTATGGCAGCACTTTCTAGTCAAAATAGTAAAATAAATTATAAAACAGCAAATTTCAAGATTATCGGTAGCTAGTCGTTTCTTAAGGCTCCACAAAATATGTTTCAACAGTTGTAAAAATGTTTCTTCCAGTGATATAAATTCGATAAGACCCGGATCGAGCCCTGTCAATAATAATTAATAAAATTAAATCAATTCATTTAAATCGGTTTAATCTAGTAACAATACCGATTAATAACTTTGGAATGTGTAGGTACAAATATCATTTATTATTATTATATCGGAATCTGTTATATTGCTTCAATAACTGAGTAAATCTCGTAATAAACTGTATAGCGCCTCAAGAATCACTGGAGTACGACGTATGAGGACCTCGATCTTACATAGAAAAGGGCTGAGTCATGCATCTAAGCAAGAAAGCTATGTTTAGAGTTGAGAATGTACACAAAATATGACATTATTTCGTATTTTGTCAGAACTTTCTAAAAGCGGCTTTAGTCTTATGAGATACAAACCTCTTTAACAGTAATTAAACAATTGGTATGCGCCCAAGATTCTTTAAATCACTTTATTTTCATTTTCTCTCAAAGCTTCTGGGATAGTAAACAAGCGCCTTTGTGGAAATCTTTTCATTTATATTATTAGGCATGTACTAAAATTGGCGATGGCCAAGACATACGTGTGAACAAGAAAGTCATATGTACTGTGGAGAGTATACACAAAATATAATATTATTTCGTATTTTGTGACGACTGTTAAAAAGGGGCCTTAGTCTTATAAGGTACAAACCTCTTCAAGATTCTTTGAATCACTTTATTTGCATTTGCTCTCAAAACTTCTGGGACAGTAAACATATGCTTCTGTGGACATTTTTTTAATTTATATTATTATTACGCATGTCCTAAAATTGTTAAACAAATGTTCTTAGTTAATAGCCGGTGCTACAAAGAGCAGGAAGGCTTGACCAATATAAATCATGGATTAGACATACTATGCGAGGACTGACAATGCGTTAGGTAAAATACAAACTGATACGCTTCTGTAATACAATGAGTAGAAAGCCATCGTGCACTACTGAAAATTAGCGATTCCAGGAACATCTCACGTAGATAAATCAAAGTTTCGAACATGCATATTAAAATAGGCGGGAACATGCCGTACATACTTTTCAAGGAATTCATTACTTTATTTGAATACTTGATGAGCTAAGAGAAGGTATTCCTACACACTTGTTATGGACAATAAAGATTTTTCAAAGAAGCCATTACAATACACTTGTCATAAGGCACAGTGTATGCTAAAATCAATGACAAGATATTTTTGTCGATGAATCGACAATAGGTTGTTTAACATAATTATGTTTAAGCCTTTAAATACCTTAAGTATCATCATGGGATCATTATGATTCTTATTAGCGCAGAGCACCTACAGGGTGCTTACTAGCAATCCAAACATTTTTGGGTTGGGTCAAATTCATTCATGGATTAAAAAGATTCAAGGGTTAATTAGTCAACCTGTTCTAAAACCATTTTCTCATATTTGGACATTGTGAAAAAGCTGCTTCTTTTAGAAAATACAGAGTGACAAACATGTTCATGCTTCACACATAGAGGTAAGACCCTATATTATTTACTTCAGTAAAAATACAATTCAAAAATACATTTTTAAAAACAAGATTTTCTTTAGCTAACATAACAGAATAAACTACAAATTCAGAAGTTTTTTTTCCAATTAGAAATATGCCGTTTTAAAAGGATTATAACAGGCCTTCATTTGAGAGCTGCACTATGGTTCAAGGGGTAATAAGTATAAAACGGCATAATAGTTCCAATTGTTACAATTGTTTTTAAAAATGTTTTTTTATTTATTCTTTACTTTTTAGTATTTGTGCCAAATAACTAGTCGTATAAGGGCCTCACTTCAAGTTGAACGTCTGAATTTGCTCTGCTTCTTTCAGGCTGGACCTTATTTGCCTCTGATGTGCCGCTTGTTTGAGGTTGAACCATCCTTGCTCCAATTATGCCACTTAGTTTTCACCAAGTAATTTATGGTACAGCTAGTTGTTTACGTCTGTTAGCTCTTTGTGTACCTAGATAAATGGCAATTTTGAGTCTTATGGCTTCTAAAATGACGTCACTTTGCTAATAGTATTCAACTCATAAAACCCTTTCATTCGCCACCCATATAGGTATTATTATGGAAAAGATAAATCTCCATTTTGTGAGATCCGCCATATAGGATTTAATATAAGTACATCTAATTTAGTGTGTATGATGGTCATGAGAACTAAACGTATATATAAAATTTTAGCTCAATTGGTCAAGGTTAACTGGTTCAAAAATAAAGCTGTAAATCGCCAATTTGCGGCGTCCGCCATGTTGAGGTGCTATTAAGCAAAAAAGTATGTCGTCATTTTGTAGCATTTCCGAAATTCTGGAGGAATTTAATTCATTGTCATGAGAACCAAACGCGTATATAAAATTATCAACTCAATTGGTTTATTCCACACTAACATACTAATACTGACAAATAAACTGGTCAAGTTAAATAAAAGCTTGTGGAAATAGGCGATCATTGATAAACACGTTCGATAATAAGATCCTGGTTATCGCCATACAAAGTCGACGAAATAACCACCCATTAGACCGTTAATTTTATTAAGCATAGTGACTGTGTTTATTTACGAAGATTTATGGATAACATGACTGCTATTTTGGCGTTGACATTTGCACAGCACTTTTTTGACTGTTTTGCAGTTTTCGGTTATATTTATTTTTGTTATATGTTTGCATGGTTTTGGACTGGTGGTGCCGTTGAATTTCAAAATAGTGGCGAAGGGCAGTCTGCAAAATGAAAAATTGACTGATAGCTGACAGAAGACCGTCCAGAAAAGCTACCGTTCATTAATGACCGTCGTGTCTAAAAACTATTTTCTTCCAAAAGAAGAGTTATCGGTAATAACCACAAAATTGACTACAAGCATGAGAAAACTGATGTTTGCAGTCGTTAATCAAATATTGTGAAAGGTCTGTGAATTTGACAAGATACTGATGCAACTTGACGAGAAGCTCCTTAGGTGTAGGTATCTGAAAAACTTCGGCAGTACGAGTGGAGCACCGTTTATGCTAAAAAAAATATTTTTTAGAATAAAGGTATTTTCACAGAAACATTACAAAAATCGTCATCAAAGTTGTCTCAGAGTGGTTGAAGGAATCACCCCTTCAACTTTTGCGGCCTACTCAGAAAAAGAACCCATATACTGACTTTCCTTTCCACTGATCTTATCTGGTGATGGTACAGATGATACGTAACCTCACTTCAACTTATTACGTCTTACCCAAAGTTCCCTCGGGCTCACAGTATCCGAAAAGGAGATTGAATCCAATGAAATATCGCTGTAATATAATTTTAAGGTCAGTGTGAAATATAGATATATTCAACAGACAAGATACCTAAGCGGAATGGTATACGCACGTTGAATAATGCATACACGGACATATTTGTTCTTAATCCATACAAATATTGACCTCTGGTCCTTGGAATCATAACGAGAGTTTCTCTCTTGTCGCCTTTAGAATGATTACAGGTATTGTTGAAAAGCAACAAATACACGAGTATCCGGAAAGAAGATGATGACATCGCGTAGCTTTGTGCTTTACGAGAAACTAGGATATGAAAGCACATTTTCATCGGCATTTCTGAGGTAACTATCTACCAGTACTTTAACGTCAGTCTATACAAAATGATTAAAAAAATCACCCTACTCCAATCTTGACCTAAACCTATCTTGACATATTATATACCACCTACTTTTTCATTTTTGTGTATGTCTTTGAATGGGTTAATTTAGCACTTATCTCACAGTATGGTTTCGAAAGGAAGAATATTGCGCTTCGAACTCATACTTGTAATAATTTCAAAGAGACATTTCAATGAAAATTAGCTCGGAATTGTTGTGAAGTTTATACTCAGTTGATAATATAGTAAAAGATGTTCATGTATGAGGCAAAAATAATAGTAAAAGATGTTCATGTATGAGAATGCTTGGAAAGCCCAGGCTCAATGATGAGGAGCTATAAAGTTTCTTTTCAGTAACAGTCGTATAGGAATCTCTGGGAGTAAAATCTTTGCATCCCGTTTGATCGCTGAAACTAGGATATTGTTTTATCCATTAGATGAGCCATGAGCTTACACATACTAAATTCTGTGTTTTTGCAGCTTTATCTTTATTTAATCTATCAGTACATCAAAATATAGGTACTTACGTACAAGTACGGTGTCCCATCAAGACCTCTTACCTATAACAAAAAATTTTATATGAAATAAAACATCTCCACTAATTCATGTAATGTCTGAAACTTGTGCTGTCTTTCAAAGCAACAAACAAGCATGAGGTTATCCGTTGTTTTTTTTTTCTGATGTACCAGACGTTTCACCGGCGTCCATGGTCCCGAAAACCGTGAAAGCCCAACCAGAATTGTTGTCGCAACACACCGGTCAATTGTTATGTAGCCTTCGACTAAAAACGCTGCATTTGCATTGTTTATGGACTGAAATGCGAGAAATAGTACTAGAAGGAACCATAGTGTGTATCTCTTGTGAGGAAATAGTATGACACAACAGTTTGGCCTTGAGATGACATCTGCGTATTTGAGATCCAAACAACAAACCATAAAAAAACACCTGGAAGTAGAAAAGTTGTGGTCCACTAGTTGGGTGGGGGAATATCAGCTAGATTTAGCAGTCAGGTAAACATAGAGGACTATCTCTACTAGGATGTCTACAACAAGAACATCTGTGCCACTCATTCGTCGGTTGGTATGTCTGTTGCTTTTGTAACAAAAATCTCAAATAAATTGTCTTCGATTTTAATGATAATGGCGGAATGGAGTTATAGTAATCAATGCTGAGACCCCGGTGAGAATCGATACAATAGCGACGATATATATATATATATATATATATATATATATATATATATATATATATACCAAAAAATACCGAATCACCACCAAAATACTTTTTGTATTTTCTCAAGTTTCTAACCGCCTTTTAGCATAACATGTTTTTCTGGTTGGGGAGATGTCGTTTTCAGGTTCGATAGTTCTTGATTGTTCCGGTTCCTTCCAACAATGTATTTCTTATAGGCCGGCACGGTCATTTATAGTGAACCAAGTAGGCGCAGCTCGTAGGTGACCAACTACATACGATTAATGTATTTGGATGAGAGTATCTGATATCCTCTGATAGTCAAAGTTTCTTGTAGTAAATAACCGATTATAAACGCATTCAGATTCTAAATAGTGGCAAATGGTTTGACGAGGTTTCACATATAGCAGACTGAGGGTTTTTTAATCCAAATAATGTAAATCCACCTAGAATAATATGTGGAAACAACTTTTCGGAAACACTAAATAAAACTAACAAAAATTCACAACTGGGACATATTTAGAATTTATGACTATTAAAGCTTACGCTATTTATTATAATATGAAAAAGATGAGTATAATTATAAAGTTCAAGTCAGAAAGAAGTCTTTATCTATTGGCGACATTACATGTGATCTACATTATCACATACGGACCAGATTGATGCAAGATCAAATCGGTACATCGCATTGCTGGAACTGGTTGATTCAGAACTCAGTTATCACTCTATTCTCTCGCTATTCGTGACTGTCTGTCAAGGCGGTCCGTAGGACCTTCGCCTTTGTGTCAAAGTACGTCAGTCAGTTTGTTATTCTGTCGGCCTGGTCACCCAGAAACAAGACATGATTAATAGAAAGCAGGAAAAAAGAAAAGTAAGAAACTCAGTTACCAATAGATAGAATGTGAAGTAGTTCAGAGTTGATACAACGGAATGGGTAAAAAGGGTCAAAAGTGGCCAAGTTGCTAGGCTTCGTTTCCCCACCACTACATGATCACCTTGATCGACGTACTTTTTCCCTTCGTAACTGACACTCCACTTCTGATTAATTTCAAAATAGCATGCTAGTCTTTTTTAAACATTAAAACATCGAGAAGAGTAACTCAGATAAATAACAAAATAAACTGTATACTCCCAATCCATTTCATTTGCGCAGCACGGCTTCTTTCGAGTCATTGAACCATACAGAAAAAACAAGCGCGGTCTTACTAAATCCATAAACAGAAGATGTGGATGTCGTGATCTTAACCTCGAATTACGCTATCGATAATCGATCTTCGTAATACCATTTTCACTTTCTAATGCCGATATAATAAAAAAAATTTACGTAAGGATCACGCAGGCCATGACGATGCTGCTTAGGGTACGTTTCCATTACAACAAATTTCTCCGCAACGTGTGCCGTGCGCTAGTTGGCAACAGGCGGCGAATGACTGCGGGGCACAACATAAGCGACAAAGCGTACTGCGGTAATTTTAGTTTACAACATGTGCCCTGCAATTTTGCACGGACAAAATTTCACAGAAATGACATATATCAGACGTTATGTTAGTCTCGCGTCACATGTTTCGGGCCAGGTGCGTTTCTATTTAAGCAATCTGAATGTAAATGTGCAACATGCGTCCAGCATACATACCTGCAACTTGTTTATATTGGAAGCTTACCTTAAGCATCACGTTGGCCATGACGATGCTGCTTAGGGAAGATGGTGTTTGTTCTTAGCGGTGATTATAAAGCCGGTAAGCGCCACACCGGCAAGCATAGACTGCTTGATTAGCTTTCACCTTTTACGATAAGGCGATCGGATAATGATGTTAATGTAAAACAAATGTTTGGTGGAGAGGTGCTTCAAGATCCGCGGTCATGGGCGGAGTATAGATAGGTCGAAAGTCCTACCAGGTCGTTGCACCCGATGGCGTTTTTGCTTTGTTCCACGGTATTTTTTCTGAAAGATCAACTGGATATTTTCTAGCTTCCGTCACATATTTGTCATTTTGCAGTGCTTTACAGATGAGTTGTTATTTCTTTGCCAGTACTAAGGAAAGAGTGCCAACTGATCGATTCTCCCCTTCATCTCACAATGCCAACTCATGTATTCCGCAAAGTATAGGTTTTGGCTGAAACATCACTTCTGCTCAACCTTAGTGACCTTTTCTCCAAGATCCATGTGTACTCAGGGTTCATGGATGGCAGCACTGCATCTTGGCTTCCCAGTGGCAAATCGATTTCTGCATATTATGGATTTTAAAGAAAAACCGAAAAGCGCTGTAAAACCTCATATTATCATGACCTGTATCGCATACGGTGCATTTCAATGTATCTAGTTGCACATATACAGTCATTTAACCTAACCTAAGTATGTTGGCATTTCCCATATGGAAGTAGGTTGGATCCGGCATAGTTAGCCTAAATTAAATTAGGTTATGTGATTTTATTAGCGCATCAGGAATAGTCATATTTATTTGTCCCCAAAATACACAACCATTATACATACAATTTTATAGAACAGAAATAAATGGAGAGCATGCAGAGGTATGGCATTGTGCACAGGTAAAAGGTAAAAAAATACTCATATAATAACGATGACGTAAATTTCCTTATATGCAACTAAAGGATAACCTGTGCGTGGCCATCACATCCAACTGAACCGAAACTAAACTTAATGATTTTAAATTACAACACTATATACAATTTAAAATGGACCACTAATTTTTAGTCTAATCATAGACGAACATACTCCTGGTTTGCGAAACAAATGTAAAGTCTGGTTTTATTGCTGCAAGTTGTTCAAGGGGGTATTCAAAACATGGACGCATAAAATGGGTACACCAATATTTGTGAGAACACTTTTTATTTGACAACAAAGAATGAGAAAACGTGTTTTTGGGGACTCAATCGAAAGTGTTGGCAGGAACGAAAAAACTCTTTATACAAGATTTTTAGGTGTCTACGAGACAGAAGATTTGAGTAATAGCAAAACAGTTATGGCCGAAAACAGAGGCAAACTGCAGGTTTTGGCACTTGTTGGTAATGCGACGATAGTTTTTGATAATTTCTAATTGTTTAAACCAAAACACCTGTTTTCCGGCCATTACTACCAGCCTATTGAGCGATTAACGCGGATAGTTCAAAGGGCATATTTTAGCAAAATACACTAGTTTACCTTGCCGAAATGAATCGCAAACCATTCTGGAAGATAAATTCAAACATTTCGTATTTGTGAGTAATTCACAACTAAAGATGATAGTCACATCCGCTTTGTTTTAAAATGTGTATAGTAACGTATGTTTTTTGAATATCGTAGCGCATTTGTTCAATTACTCACAAATACAAAATGTTTGAATTTGTTTAGAAGAAAAAAACGTAACCTTTGTTTTTCACATAAAAATGACATTTATCTTTCGGAATGACTTGTGATTTATATCGACAAAGGTAAACACGTGTAGTTTGCTATTCAATGCTCTTTGAACGAACCCTGTGTAATGCTCAATAAACTAGTAGTGAAGGCCAGAAAACAGGTGTTTTGGGATAAGCGATTAGAATTTATCAAAAACATACTTAACCAATACAATCCAATTTAGTTTGAATCCTATGGATTTGAATAATTTCAAGCAGTTGCGTTAAATTATCGTCGCATTACCAACAAGTGCCAAAACCTGCATTTTTCATCGTTTTTCGGCAATAACATTCCTGCTATTAGTCGGATCTTTTAACGTGTGGTCTTATTTTGTAGGTCTCATAAATACCTAAAAATCTTGTATGAAACGTTTTTTAGTTCCTGACAACACTCACGATTAAATCCCAAGAAAAACGTTTTCTCATTTTTTGTTGTCAAATAAAAAGTTTTCGCACAAAAATTGGTGTACCCATTTTATGCGTCCATGTTTTAAATAAATGAACAATTTGCGCCAATAAAACCAGACTTTACAATTATTTCGGGGAAATTTGCTAATATGATTAGACTAATTTTGTGACTTAACTAAATGAGAGACATATCAACCTACCTATTTTTTGGCCGTATCGTAAAGAGCCAGGTGTAAATAAAATCTACAGCAAGAAGGATATAAGAAGGGTTAGACCCGAGAAAAAAGGGAAATATGTCAGAGAAGAACCTGCAACTTACAATGTATAGCTCGTGCCTTTTATGGTAATGGATTTAAACTCTCGGCCTGGATTTTATTTGTTTTCCACATGTATTCAAATTATTTACTTTTTTGCAAGACACTGGGATTGTATTGAAAATTCTTGGATTACGTTGAGAGACAGCATTTTCTGACAGGTGCCATAGCAGTGTTCAATTTGCGTCAATGGAGACCAGTTTTTATACTGAAAAGTAATAAGATTGTACACATACCAGTAGCTGTCTGATGTCACTGTATTTTCAGATTTAGGAAATACTTTTGTGAATTTCATCTACCTAAATCTAAAAAGTCCAGATCTAGGTAGGTATTTGTTTTCTTAAGAATAATTAGGATATTTCCACTGCTGTGGATTGTCACTTACATGTTTAACGTCCAGAGGAAGACAATTTTCAACGTATAGGTTTGAAAGAACAAGTTGTGTGGGTTCTGTTGTCCATCGAATTCATTGTGCTGCAATGATCGCTATCATGGGGCCAAAAATTGCGTAGTGTCCAAACCCATTCTTGCACTATATCGGCGTTGGTGAAACTAAAAGAAAAGCGCATGCTACTTCATTGCTCTAATAACAGAGTTGCTGCTGTTGTTTGGGTCGGTCAGTGACCTTTTCAGGGGGCTGGTTGAGCATCAGCGAACTTCTAGCCATTTGAAACAAAACCGAAGTTACGGAATACATAAAAAAGTCGTAAAAGGAAACTTCAGATTAAAATGTCAACAAGGTGCCTCGTAATAAGTTTCTTAAGGCTGTTTTTTCTTTGTAGGCATGATAAAAAGGTTATTATTTCATTCAAAATACTGTAAAAATGCTTAGGTCATTGCACGCTGTGCTGCCCACTTATCAATTGAATAAAACAACGCTTCCTACGAACGTAGTTAGGTGAAAGAAACGAAATTCCTCAATAAACAGCTGCCTACACCAATCGGCCTTTCCTACAGGTTCACGATTTTGACGGCGCATCATTGGAATAGTCGCGATGTAAAACTAAAACGTTTCTGCATGAAGTCATTAAGAGATTATTTATCTTTACATTATATTAGCTGGGCCAGTCCACGACATCTCACTGCCTCAGATGGATTAGAGCTCAATCCTCCTTGTATTCCTTTCAGTTATAGTTCCGACTTCTTGAGAAATGCTTGTAACTGCTATACTATAACTATCTAAAACTATAATGAATCATCGATGTTCACGTGAACATCACTTAACTACCAGTAGTCGGCTGTTCATTGGCGGGGTATGAATGTGTAACATGGATGAACTAGATTTTTCAAATGCTTAATAAAGAGTGATTTGAAACATATTGTAAGTCAAAAATTTGGGAATTACCTTTATTCATCGTCGCTTCCACTTACATCTGACAGTAATAAACTGTCGCTATCGCTTTCCTCGTTGAAATTGACTATAACTGGCTCTATGATGGTGTCGATGTGGTGGTCAAGCTGCCACATTTTTGTTTCTTCCTTCACAACATGACGGATAGCATTTTGCCAAGCTTCGGGCGTTACTAGCTGTATGGAAGTCTCAAGTAAAACCTTAACGTCTGGTAATTTGAAGGTTGTGTTATGGCGCGCAATATAACCCTTCACTTGAGCCCAGATGAGTTCTATTGGGTTCAGTTCACAGTGGTAGGGCGGTAACCGCAGCACAGTGACACCACATTGACGGGCCATCTCATCAGTCACGTAACTAATGTTCGCAGGTTTGTGCTGTTTAATTTTTTCATACAATTCCGCTTTCACACATAAATCGTCAAACGGGATTCCTTTTTCGCGCAACTATTGCTGCATGTCACTTTTTCGAGATCCCATAGTCGGTACACGTTCGGCTCGACGACTATGGTAGGAAGCATTATCCATGACGATCACAGAGTTGGGCTCAACTCGCTGAAGCACCCCTTGAAACCAGCTCTCGAAGCAGCTGGCATTCATTTCGTCATGGTAATCACCTCCTTTCTTAGAGACGAAAATCAAGTCACACTCTTCTAAAAAGCCACTATCGCTACCAATATGAGTTACGATCAATCTTTGACCTTTCCCTGACGGTCCGCGAAGATCTGTTGACAAACCTTCAATGCTTGCTTGTCGGTTACTCACTACGTTTTTGTCTATCCAGGTTTTTTTAACTGTGTCACCTGCATTTACCCATGTCTCGTCCAAATAATAGATTTTTCTGCTTTGTCGCCTATATTCAATCATTTCGCGTAGGTATTTTCGACGCCAGGCGACTATTTCAGGTCTCTCTATCAATACTGACTTCCGATTACGCGTTTCGTAACGAAAATTAATTTCGTGCAGGGATTTCCTCATTACCTCGACGCTCATTTGGGGTATAATTTAATTTTCCTTGATCGCTGCATGTACAGCCTTGAGGGTTGGTATCTCATTCCTAAAGAAGAATGATTGTAGGGTTCGCCTTAACGCCATTTTGCTATCGTCATCCAATTTAACGACCTTTCGTCCCTTCAAATTAAACTTTGGATCAGTAGTAGCTCCAGTTTTCTTCTTTTCATGCACCACCCTGCGAATGGTCCACTCTGGAACGCCTGTCATACTTTCACAACGCGCGAGTGCATCTCGCTGCGACATAGTTCTGTTCAGATAATTGAACACGTTGAGCACGATTTCTTTCGCGTCCCTCTTCAGTGCTTTACGAAGCCGTCTACTTGTTCCCTGGCTTTCAGTACTTCCACTCGTGCCATTTGTACTCTCCATGGTTAAGTATAACCAAAACAGTAACCACAGAAACCACAACAATAACAATCACACAACAATTCTTATAAAAACACACAATATGCGATCGCTCAACGAAATACGTTCCAATGCGTTGCCGACGCCTATGAGTCTGCCGGTCGAGGCGCGTCTTTGATTTCATTGGTTCTACCGGCGGAGAACAATCAGCCATTATTTCCATCTCTGTCTGTGCTGTTGACCACCGCAAAGCCACAGAAACGACATATGTCGTACGCTATACGGCTGTACTGGAAAGAAGCCGGGATCGAGCTCTAATCACGTGTTGATAACGCGTATGAGTCATTACAGTTTTAAATAGTTGTAGTATAGTAGAAGTACCTCTCAGATCTTCTGCCTAGCGTGACCAAATGTAATGTTTTAACCTCTCCACCTGCCAGCCACCCATCGCTAGACCCTCAAGCAGGTATGAATATTAACGAAATAAAATTTAGACATACCCTCTCCCACACCCTGCAACATCAAAATTTCCAAACCTTACAAACATTTGCTGAAAATGATTAGGAGGGTCTGAAATATCAATAAACGAAGATTGAGCGATATCAATTTCTTCATCTTTAACCCCCAGCTAAGCCACCACTGGATCAATTTTCAAAATCCATAAAGATTTTTCGTCCTTGGTATAGTAGTAAGCTTCTGTCAAAGTTGCATCACAAATAGAGCGGTATATTCTAGGTTATCGAGGGGCCCAAGGTTTAATGAGCAGACAGACCATCAGACGAGCAAACCGACACACAGACAGACCGACAGACAGATTGCCAGTCCAACGGAGATGACTGACATGGATTTCCGTAGAATGAAATACGACACTTGAATTATTATGAAGGCTACGACTGGTAGTGCGATGCTAGAAAGTCAAGTCTGTGTCATTGGTGATCTTAGACATATCGACGCCACTGCTGACTCGAAAGATACTCAATCTGGGGTGTCCACAACTTGTTGCAGTTATCCACCAAAATATCTTTCATACTAATTAATTACAAATATAATTACAGGCACTTAACAAATATTCTAAATTCTCCAGTGTTTAGCGAGACCAGTATCTCGACAGAAATCCATCATGTGATATACAGGGTGTTCCATAATTATTGCGACAAAATGATAGGGGTTGTAGAGGGCATCAAAATGAACAATTTTGCCTTATAAACCCCTGTTCGGAAATATGCCGTTTGGGCTGCAGCAAAAAAAAAGATCAGTTTCTTGAAACAGCTTACCTACAGTAATTGCTCAAAGTGTCCTCCACCTTGCTCAATACACAGCTGTGCACGATTGTTTAATGATCGGCAAACTCTGTGGCATACCCCCGGTATGTCCTGAACATGTGCGGACGCGGCCATCACTCTTCCCAGTAGCTCTTGTTGGTTGGGAACAGGAGTTTCGTACACTAAAGCTTTCAGATGGCCCCAGAGAAAATAATTCAGTGGGGTCAGGGCGGGTGACCGCGCAGGCCAAGGCACAGGGCCACCTCGGTCTATCCACCTATTTGGAAATTTGTCGTCCAAATACTGCCGCACTTGTAAAGACAAGTGGGCTGGAGCGCCATAGCGTTGAAACCACATGTTGGCTCTTATGTTCAGTGGCACATTTTCTATTTTACGGTAGCCCATGCTGTAAGAATCGACCATAAGCATGCCCATCCAAACGTGGTGGAAGCAAATATGGCCCGATGATATGCTCGTCCACAATGCCGCACCAGATGTTAATTGAAAACTGATGTTGGTCTCTATGGATGGCTATGGCATGAGGGTTTTCTTCATCCCAAATGTGACTGTTACGGCTATTAAAATAACCGTCCTTTGTAAAACAGGACTCGTCAGTGAACAAAACGTAGCGACCGAAGTTTGGTTGCCTCAACTCCTGCTGCAGCCACCAACGACAAAAACGTCGACGCGGCAGATAGTCATCTGGACCCATGGCTTGGACTTTTAAAAGGTGGTATGGGTGTAGTTGCTGGTCATGGAGAACTCGCCAAGCAGTAGTTTGAGACGCTCCCATATCATGTGCAATAGCACGCACGCTTGTACGCGGATTGGCCTCTACATGATGCAGAATCGCTTCCTGAAATTCTACTGTGCGCCTCGTGAAGGGCCGCCCTGCTCCCGCGAGGTGTCTGATGCTGCCACTGACACGAAGACGTCCATGAATCCTTGCAAAAATGGCGTGATGCGGATGAGGACGTTCTGGAAACCGTTGGACGTAGATTCGCGAGGCTCGTCTCCCGTTACCACCAGCTTCTCCGTAAATGAAATGCATATCCGCAAGTTCCGCATACGAATAACGCTGCATTTTAACACTAAGGTATTGTTATTTACTATCTAGTTTGACGCACCACTCAGATAAATTAAATGAATCGGTGTGGAGAATTTACGATAACAAAAATGTAAACACAGCAGGCTTTTTTTACAAACCGGCGAGAC